TTACCCTGCCCATATTGCCACCGAACATGCACATCATGCATCTGCCTGGTCGGCCACTGGTGAGTCCATCGCATTGAGACTGGCGGGGCAGTGCCAGAACCCTCGGCATACGCTCACCGCACCCGCCTCAACTGTCCACAGTGTCCAGGGGCATTCAGTCACCGCAGTGGCCTACTCAGTCATATGCTATTTTGCGGAAAGACACCGCAGGCAAAATCCCATCACTAGCACATACACCACACATGGACCCGATCTTCATCATCCATCACAGGCACAGAACAGGCACCACTCACGCAAGCGGGAAGCATGTTATTCGGCTCCTTATCCACTAAGCCTTTATGATACTTTCACACATATGAGCTCTGAGAATCCCATCCCTTTGAGTGAAAAGTCGATGTGTTGTGTGAGGGTTAGGTCGTGTGTGTGTGTCTTGTGTGGACGGACGGTTTTTGGCTCTGTCAGCCGCTGCACCCAATCTCAGCATCAGTTGGTTCACCGGCTCGGACAGTCGCATGGTGCGCCGGAAAGTGAGTGAGTGAGGCCGATTATGGGGACCCCATGGCCACTACGATTTAGCTCGTTCCTCACTACGATAAATCTGATGGGTTTGAAAATAAAACAACGCGCTAAATGTCGTGGCCTGTGAAGTTGCCGACCGACGACACAACTCAGGCCTCGCATTCAGCCCTGTGTACGCGTGTTGTGTGAAGTGGCTAACTGCTGGGGTGTAAGGGTGCCCAGTTGTGGGTCCACGTGATGGTCGTGGTAAGCCGCTCGTTTGCATGTAGGTATAGACTACGCCCAGCGTCCATAAACTGACACCCAACTCTCACACGTGGCTCCCCAAAGGTGGGCTCTGCCTAACGCTACAGTCCGGTAACCGCTTCGACCGGCGGGCCAAACCAGGTGGGGGTATTCGTGCGTGCATCTCCGCACACGGCACTGCGGCCCCCATGACCGGATAGACCACCGCCTCGGCATCTCCGAGACGAGATTTCGTCTGTAACACCGCAGGAGGCCACACGGTAAGTGAGCCGCCAGGCAAGTGAACATTGCTCTACTGGATTGCTAGTTGTCTGCCTGCTTGTGTTTGTCCTTGTTGAAAACTAATTGCCGTTCCTTTGAATGTCCTTCGTTGCCTTTGTTTTTGCTGTTCTTGCCTGCTTGCTCTTTGTCTGCTTGTTTGTCTTTGTCCTTTTTGTAATCTAAATGCCGTTATCTTTAATTTGTCTGCTCTCCGTTTATACTTCAGCAATCAGTTAGCTTGGTGAGAGACGGGGAAACTCTGCATCCTGCCTCTCTACCTTTTTCTCATCCTCCCATCCCCCTTCAAGTCCTACAGAATTAGTGTATGTAGGCCCAGGCTAACTCGTTCGTTACCGCGCTAACCAAAAGCCGCGGCCCTTAGTGGAGTTTGGCAGCCGTCTGGGACAGTTGAGTAGCCCTATTTAGGGAGTGCTCTGCTCACCCCTTGGGAGGGGGAAGTGGCTAGAAAAGGTGCCCTAAACAAATGCTGGGGGTCCACGCCGTCTGCAGGCTGACCGTGGCCGCAGACGCAAACTCACTTCGAAATAACTGAATCAGAAACAACACACCCTCTCTCTTCCCCCTTCACCTCCCCGCTGCCCCAATCGCCAGACTGGTAGGATGAGTCCGCTCCTCCTGACAGCCTAGAATGTTCTTTTCCTTTTAGACAATTTCAGGAACAACAGCCCGGAACAAAGGACGGCGCTATTTGCTGGGGAACTGGCGCGCTACAATGTGGGCATCGCTGCACTCAGTGAGACGCGGCTCTCCGAAAAAGGCCAACTGGAGAAGGTTGGTGCCGGCTACCTATTCTTCTGGAGCGGCCGCCACAAGGCAGAGAGACGGGACGCGGGCGTCACCGGAACGACCTCGTGGGACGACTGCTCTGTCTATCGCAGAGCATCAATGATCTCTTGATGAGCTTTCGTCTGCCTCTCCATCATCACCGTCTACGTCCCCCGATAACCAGCTTTGACGTGGCAACAAACAAGTTCTACGAGGAGCTGCACGCCCTCCTGGCGGCTGTGCCGGAGGCGGATAAGTTGATTGTCCTTGGTGACATCAACGCCCGTGTCGGCACAGCCCATGCTGCCTGAAGAGGAGTGCTGTGTACCCATGGTTTCAACGGCTCCAATCACAATGGCCTGCTCCTCCTACGAGCCTGCGCAGAACACCGTTTCGTCCTGAGTAACACTTTCTTCCCCCTCCCGATGCGAGAGAAGGCCACCTGGATGCACCCTCGGACGAGACAGTGGCACCTGCTGCACTATGTCCTCACCCGGAGGTGAGACCAGCGGGACATGCTGGTGACATAGGCGATTTCGAATGCCGACTGGTGGACTGCTCATCGTCACGTCGTCTCCAAGATGCGAATTCGCGTACAGGCTCGCAGGAGACCTCAAGGTAAGCGACCCCCAGGTAAGCTGAATATTGCCTTGTTGTCTTTGCCCCTTCACGATCTCCATTTCAGCAGTAAGCTAGCTCAGCGGCTAGTCAACCTCCCAGTCGCCGCCGCTGATGCCGCCACTGACGTGACCGCTCCGTGGAGAACCGATGGTTTCAATTGCGAGACACAGTCCAGTCGACGGCCCTGACTGTCCTCGGTCGCGCATGTCGCCAACACCAGGACTGGTTCGATGGAAACGACGCCGCCATCAGCGACCTGCTCACCAAGAAGAATCAACTGCACAAGGCCTATGTCAACCGCCCCGCCGACGACGACAGAACAGCCTTCTACCGTAGTCGCCGCCTTGTGAAACAGCGGCTGGGGAGGTGCAGGACGCTTGGATTGCTCGCAAGGCCGAGGAGATCTAAGGTTACGCGGATCGCAACGAATGGAAGAACATCTTCGCCTCGATTGAAGCTGTCTACGGTCCGCCAACCAAAGCAACTGCACATCGTCTCAGAGCTGACGGCAACATCCTATTCACCGAGAAGACGCAAATTCTACAGCGATGGGCCAAACACTTCAGAAGTATCCTCAACCGCCCCTCCACCATCTCCGACATCGTCATCGCCCGTCCGTCTCAAGTGGAGACCGACGCTGACCGCGACCCCCTATTCCTATCTCCTCGTAACCATCAGGGCCCTGTAGCAGCTCTCCAGCAGAAAGGCGCCCGGATCGGACGCGATCCCTGCTGAGATCTACAAGCACGGTGGCCCCAATTCATGGATCATCTGACGGCGCTCTTCCAGCAGATGTAGCTTCAAAGAGAAGTCCCGCATGATTTCAAGGGCCCAAGAATCCTCTATCTCTATAAGCGGAAAGGTAACCAACAGCTCTGCGACAACCATCGAGGCATCTCCTTGCTGAACATCGCCGGGCAGATCTTCGCTCGCATCCCTCTCAACCGCCCGAACAACCATCTGGAACAAGGTCTCCTGCCGGAAAGCCAGTGTGGCTTCTGCCGCCATCGTTTGACCACGGGCATGATCTTCGCCTCCCGTCAAATGCAGGAGAAGTGCCAGGAGATGCGGAACCACCCGTACTCTACCTTCGTAGCTCGGACGAAAGCCTTCGATACGGTGAATCACGAAGGACTGTAGAAAATCATGAAGAAATTCGGCTGTCCCGAACGGTTTACCCAGATGGTGCGTCAGCTCCACGATGGCATGAGTCGCGGACAATACAGCTGTCTCAGAGGCATTCGCATTGACCAACGGAGTGAAGCAGAGCTGCATTCTGGCGTCCACCCTCTTTATTTTCATGCTCTCTGCCATGCTGATGGACGCCTACCGTGACGAAAGTCCTGGAATCCGCATCACCCACAGGACGGACGGCCACCTTCTCAACCACAGGTGGACGCACTTCCAGTCGCGTTTTTCCACAACTACCGTCCATGAACTTTTCTTCGTCTACGACTGCAAAGGAGCACGGATCTCTTCGCCGCCTGCGACAACTTCGGTCTGGTCATCAGCACGGAGAAGACAGTGGTCATGCATCAACCGCCACCCGACCCTGCCTACGTCGCACCCCAAATAAACGTGAACGGCGTCCAACTCCAAGTAGTGGACAACTTCACGTATTTGGGCAGTACCCTATTCCGCACCACCAAGATCGACGATGAAGTGGCCTGCCGGACTTCCAAAACCAGTCAAGCTTTCGTTCGTCTGCAACGAAAAATTTGGAATCGCCACGGTCTCCACCTAAACACCAATCTAAAGATGTACAAGACCGTCATTCTGCCGATGCTGCTTTATGAACGGAGCACTGATCGGTGTACAAGAAGCAGGCGCGGAGGCTCAAGCACGTCCACCTCAGCTGTCTTTAACGAATAAGTACAATGATGTGGCAGGACCAGATACCGGACACGGACGTGCTGGAGCGGACGGGATTCCTCGGCATCTACGCCGTGCTGAGATATCTGCAACTGCTTTGGAGCGGCCACCTCGTGCGGGCGGATGACGAGCGGCTACCCAAATGACTCTTTTACGGAGATGTTGCCACAGGTTGCCGCCGACAACTAGGACAATTGCGTCGATACAAGAACACTATGAAGACTTCCCTGAAGCGTCTGCAGATCAAACGAACCAACTGGGGAGACCTCGCCCGGGACCGACCGACCTGGCGGAAGACAGAAAAGACAGGCACAGCGATCTACGAGGCTAACCGCATCCCCGCCACCAAAGACAAACGCGAGACCCGCAAATCTCAACAACGCCCACCGTGCAGTGCCAACAATCGACCACCCCCGATCTGCCCACGCTGTCAGTGGACATTCTGGGCACCAATCCTAGGACCTCTTCGTATCAACTGCAGCACCCGAACTACACCATATGCTGTCTCCTCGTCCAACTCTGCCTCATCCTCCACTCCAGCAACTAACAGTGAACCCCCACAATCATCCCCCCCTTCCCCCCACCTCCTCCCCTCCATCCTCCTCCTCCTACTCCGCCACCGCATAAACATCCGCTATGGCGGATCCTGTACCCACAACCACTGCACACAATCCTGACACACCAACAAACATCAACCTCCCCCTCCCCCTCCACTAACAATCCCAACGATGTGGACTCTATCTAAGCCTGTCCTCATTGTGACCTCTCCCTAACCTCACACATCGGCCTGGTCGATCCTTTGCGAACCAGTGCCTGGAGCACCAACCTACACTCGCCGCACTCGTCTTCACTGTCCACACTGTCCCCGCACATGTACTCACCGCATGGGCCTATTCAGTCACATTCAGTCACACGCCCGGTCGCCCAGCGTGTCCACCATCAGCAGCTACACCACTGCTACCATATGAGGAAGTAACACTGACACAATCGGCCTCCTGTCCTCACTGTCTCCGCACATTCATCGCACACATCGGCCTGGTCGGTCAATTGTGGATCCATCGCACAGAGACCGGCGAACCAATGCACGGAACACCCACATACACTCACCGCATCCACCTCAACTGTCTTCACGGCACTCGCACATTCACCCACGGCATGGGCCTAATAGGCCACATGCGCATTCTCGAAAATCTGCGGTAGATAGCCGCCGGCTAAGCCGCACCACCACATCTTCCTCCACCTACAGCACACGACATCATCATCACCCACCGCAAGCATTCAGTTGTCACCTCCCACGCAAGTGGAAAGTGTGTGCCTCGGTTCCGTCTCCATGCGGCCCCTACTGTATGTGTGACTTGAGTCTGAGGTTATCACGGCGCGTCAAGAGCTGTGGCTTGGAAGGCTGCTGACTGATGCCTCAACTCGGTCCATGCAGTCTGCCCAGCTGTTGTGTGTGCATGTGTGGAGTGGCAGACTGGTGGGCTGAGAGCCAGGCTGAAGTGGCTCCTTCTCAACGTGACCTACTGCACTCTAACGCATGCGAGATGTACGTCGCTCAACCTCCGTTGTGTGAAGTCCTGGTGCTTGTGTTTGGGGGACCAGGTCGTGCATGTGGTGCGCGCAGATAAGGTCACTAGACATGTCAGCCACCGAGCCCATTCCCCGCACCATTCAACTGACCGGTTCAGACAGTGACAGGGGCCTGGTAATATGAAGGGAGAATGAGGTCGACGACTCAGCGCATTTCCCTCATTATAAACAATCTGATGCGCTTGCAACTATCAAGGTGTGCTAAAAGCCGTGGCTTGGAAGGTTATCAACTGGCTGGATAACTTGGACCTCGCGATCGGCCCAGTGTTGTGTGTTTGAGTGGAGCCGCCGCCCGGTGGTCTGAGAATCAAGCTGCAATGGCTCCTTTTTAATGTGGCCTTCATGGCACTCCCGTGCCGTGGGACCCGAGTCAGGTGTGACGGCACGCCTAGGCGCGGCCCCGGCCGTGCCACCCACCCTTTTTTGTTGGTTAAAATGCTAGTCATTTGTTGTGTGGACCAGGGGGTGTTGGGTGGAACGCCAAGGTGCAGGCTCGAACGGTCCATCCACTTGCGCCCTCCCTGCCTCTGGTATTCTTGACTCTGTCTATACGCCGGGCCCAGGTGGGGGAGGAGAGAGTGTGGTAGATGCAGCGCATGTTTACATTCACTATAAACTAAATCACGCGCCCGTGTCACCGTGTCTGCTTCACCTTGCTGTGGGGCACACGGTGGACAGCGTCGACAACGACAGTCGGACTGTCGGGCCGACTGTCGGACTGAGAATCAGGCACGGTGGCTACATCTTAAAAATGCCTCTATGTCATTCTCACGCATGGGAAATCCGGGCAGTCCGCATTCCTTGTATGCAATCCGTGTGTGTTTTGCGGCTTGGTCATATATGGCACACAAATTCGGGCAATAGATCTGTCAGCCACTTGCGTCCGATCGCCGCACCAAATGATAGACCAGTTCCAACAGAGCATTAGTGTCTGGTAGAGGGAAGAGACAGTGAATTCGATTCTGGAGACTCAGTCCCTACATCACTTAACTCATACTTCTTACTACAAACGATCTGGCGTGCCTCTAAACCATTACGGTGCGCCAATAGTCGTGGCTTGCCAACCGAGGGGATAATTCAGTTCTCCTTTCAAGACGGAGAGTTAGGCTGCAATGGATTCATATTAATATAGACTCTATGACACTCCCACTGAGGTGGGATCCCAGTCGCCGCCCGTCTGTTCGTGTGAAAAGCTGGTCTATCGCGCGCGACACATGTCGTGCTTTGCACGCGTAGACAGGCGGTTTAACTTCGTCAGCCACTGCCCTTGATCTGCCCCCGGTCTTCTTGACTCCGTCTTTACGGTGAGTCCAGGTGGGTGAAGGAGGAGAGCGTATGTTAGATGCTTTGCAGGTTTGCTACCAGTATGATTTAATTCATCCGTAAGTCATTGTTCATGCGCCGCCATACTGGGAGGTACGCGGTAGATATCATCATTCGCACTTATCTAACTTCCACATGTCAGGTTGAGGTTTAGTGCCCGTTGTGCTCGGGGACCTACACCACAGTCGTATAGGCACTCCCGGTTTGCTGATGCATTTAAGTAGCCGTTACATTACGGTATCCTGAAGAGAATGACTTGCTGCAGATATCCCGTCGACGAAAGGCACGCGGATGGAAGCACCATATTCCAAGTAGTTCCAGTTGGCTAGGGTAAGCATGAGTGTATACGTAGCTACTATATACTTGTTGCCAATCCACGGGCGTCCCCACCAAACGCATAGGAACTTCTCTTTCGTTCCGCCCCGTCGCCAAGCTCTCATCTGTGGCTCCACGAAGTTGTGCTCAATGCGGTGGTTACACCCCCATAACCTTCTTAGACCGACTGGATAAATCAGATGGGGCTGTCCGGCGTGTGTTCCTCCATGCCCATCAGTCCCTGAACTAATCCCATCCTTCACCTCTGCCCGAACAAAAAGCCCAATGGAGTGCGCGACACAGAATCCCAAAGACGGCCAAAATGCAACAAAGTCGTGACCCACAGTGAATTTCGACAGCCGTTCGGGCTTAAATAGGAGACATGCTCGCTGGAACAAGAGCTTTATTCGCCTGACATTTCGGATTCATACTAGAATCCATCACCAGAGGTGGAATGAGTCTGCTATAGTAGAGGACAGTTCTGATCGCAAGGAAGCCGACTGAATACAAAGTAGGCATCGCGACTCCTAGAGAGATTCTCTTCTCCGAAAAGAGATGGCCAAGGAAAGAAGGTGCGGTATACAACGTCCTCTGGTAAGGACGTTTAAAGGCTGAGCGGCTCAACGTTCGTGTCTCCCTTGTCACCAAGCAAGACGCCGTGAGACGGCTGACCTGACTCCCATAGAGAGCCAACGATCGCGACTTGAACTTGAGGCCGATACTCGTTCGCTACCGTCCCCATGATCTGTGTCCCAAACATGAAAAGCCCTAACAACGCGAATAGTAAGTTCTACGAAGACCTGGACGCCCACTTCGCGATTACGACGAAGGCGGATACCATTTTAGTCATTGGCTACTTCCACTGTCTCCGTCGGTAAGGTCCACGCTACCTAGGTTGTGGCTCTAGGTCGCCATGGAATCGGCAGCTACAACAGTAATGACCTCCTTCCTCTGCAGACCTCCACAAAACTCGACTTTCTCCCTGCCACTCATCCTTCTGCCTTCCAGACCGGGAGATGACAACGAGAATACATCCTCACTCGCTCTGCGGGCAACTGCTGAATTATGTCCTCAAGCAGGGGCACTAAGAGTGTGACGTTCTAGCAACCACAGTGATTTGTGGTGCCGACTGCTGGCGAAGCACCGTCATGGCGTCCCCAGGATGAGGTTTCATGCGCAGCCCCAGAGAAGACCACAAGGTAAACCAACATAGGATGAGCTAGATACCGCATAATTGGATATGGCTGAACGCCGACTGGATTTTATCATTTGCACGAGTTCCGATCAGGAAGAAATGTGAACCTTAAAGTTTAATGTCACTGTCGAGTTACACAGGCATCTTGTTTGTGGTCGACTGAGCGCTAAATACAAAGACGGGAGCAGACACGCAGCGGAGTGCTGCTGCAACTTCGAACTGACAATTAGAGCACAGAGGACATTGGTTGTGCACCAGCTGGCGCCAGATTATGACTGCAACCAATCCAGGATAAAACGTTGATAGAACTCGTCTCGCACTCGTGGACAACTTACAATCTCTCTCTCTTTACCGGACACTAGTGCACTGTCGGAGGCGGTCAGTCATCTGACGCGGCGATTGGGCGCAAGCGGCTGACATGGTGTGAGGCCACGCCTGAGGGTACCACAATAGCCCTTCCAACGTGTGACATTTTTCATGAGATTTAACGACTGTGCGCAGTTCGGTTAAAGCGTGTCGTGCTCTAATCTGACTCCTATTTCGATCCAGATCATCTACCGGAGGCCCCGTCATAGGAGCCTCTACAGGATATGGTTGTTCTAGCAAACGAGATCGATAGAGTCGTCCGTTTCTCCATTAATAGGGCAAAGAATAAAGAAATCTATGTCTTCATTTCTGAGCAGGAATGTGATTAAGAGTAGCGAAGGTTATGTAAAGACACTAGACACTACAACGCTTGAGCCAAGTCCTATTGGAGGGGCGCGGGAGGGGGAGAGACAGACAGTCTTATTGACGTGGCGACAGCGACTAGCACACCTTGTCAGTCGCCTGCTTGTGCGCGTGAAACTCAAACTCGGTTTGGCGATCGATAGTTTGGTCTTTATTACTGCAATTGGCTGCAGTCGGACATGACTCAGGCACACGCTCGTATCTCGCATAGACAGAACAACGACAACGGTTGGTTCTCGGCGTAGTGAGTCAGTGTGGCCTCTGAATGCTGAGCTGTTCGCACATTCTTGATGAGAGTAGAGCATTGTTGCACTAATTCCGCTTCCCTGACTTCTGATCTGGGAAACACCTCGATGCTTACCATCGAACTTCGACATAGTGGCGACCGTGGGAAGTTATCTAACTTCTGGGCAAAGGAGAGGAGACATAGTCAGAGCTGGCATCATTAGAACAAAATGCATTCGACGTTTTAACGAGATTTCAAGTCTCAGATGCTTAAACGCCTGGGTTTGGTTGAACCCTGAC